GGCCCAGGTGCTTGGGCCCTGCACCCCATGGGAGACCAGGAAAAGCACCTGGCTCCTGGCTCCTGCCAGGATCAGCGCGGTGCGCCGGCTGCAGCGGCGGCCATTGGAGGGTGAACCAGCGGCAAAGGAAGACCTTTCTCTCTCTGTCTCTCTCTCTCACTGTCCACTCTGCCTGTCAAAAAAAAAAAGAAAAAAAAAAAAGCCATAAAAAATTGGAATCAGAAAGGATTTAAATTCCATCCACCCACTTGTTCTCTAAATTTGGACAAATGGTTTAACCTCTCTAAGCCTCCATTTCTGATCTCAAAAACACAGGTAATAACACCTGCCTCAGGGGATATTATCTGGATTCTATCGGATATGTAGTAATAAACATTCTAGCGAACAGGAAGTGGGAAATAAATAGCAGCTATGATTCACATCTTTTGCCCTATTTGATGGGATTTGAAACATCCTGTGTTTTATCGTATATCTGATGTTTGACCAATCTGACTCTTTTCTGAGGTAAAGGGTTATGGTTTACATCATCTAGAGCATGTTACTGAGGAGTCATTGAGCATTTTTTTGCCTTAACAGCCTTGAAATTGATATTAGATAAGCAAGAAGGATCTTATCCAAATGAAATAGAATTGCAGGGAGCATTGCCTGAGCTTTTAAACACCCTTCCGGAGCGTTGCCTTTGGGAATCTAAATGTAGGACAGCAGAAAGCGCGCATGTTGTCAGCTGCGCGCGTTGCTCTGTTTTCGCTGTTGAATTCAGGCAGGCCTGACATGGGATGATGATTTTAGTGATGACAATCTAAAGAGTCTGACTGCCTTCCGGCCAGTGTTTATGGGTACATAGCCCAGATATGATGCACGTGACTCACCCGGCCGTAGAAATCACTGGTATTTCATAGCAAGCCAGGACTTTTCTTTTGGCATCGCATGTTTCAAGTACTCACATTGTTCCCTTTACCCTTTCCCTGCTTTTGTTGTGAGTGACAACACAAAAGAGTTTTGTGTGTCCTGCCTACTTGGACAAAGGTCAGTACTGTTGCCGTACCCCAGGAGATGGCCATGTGGTTCTCGTGAAGTTCAGGAGCATAGATAGACTCTATTAAACAATTGCTTCAAGGTCCTGGAATTGTCAGAAAATATAATTTAAGCAATGATTTGTTTTTAACAGATATTTGTAATAGCATTGATAATATAAGAATCTGACAAATAGAAAGTTTACAATATGCTATGTTCATCCTCTTCCGTGTTTCATGGAGTTTAACATGTAGTAGGCTCTTTTTTTAAAAAAAATATTTATTTATTTGAAAGGCAGAGTTAGAGAGGGAGAGACAGAGAGAGAGATCTTCATTTGCTGGTTCACTCCCCAAGTGATCACAATGGCTGGAGCTAGGCCGATCTGAAACTAGGAGCCAGGAGCCTCCTCCAGGTCTCCTATGTGGTTGTAGGGGCCCAGGCACTTGGACCATCCTCCACTGCTTTCCCATGAGCAATAGCAAGGAGCTGGATCGGAAGTAGAGTAGCCAGGACTCAAACCATCTCCCGTATGGGATGGCAGCATCCTATGCCTCAGCACCAGCCCCTATAGTAGGTTCTTAATCAATAGTTGGTTTTAATGTAGTATGGGGAAGTTTATTTCCTGTGGGATGATTTTTTTTAATTTTATATATTTATTTTTATTTACTCAAAAGCCAGAGAGACAGAGACAGACAGAAATCTTCCATGTGCTGGTTCACTCCCCAGATGTCTGTAGTGACCAGGTCTGGGCCAGGTCAAAGCTGGGAGTTAAGACTTCAGCCTGGTTCCTACAAGTAGGTGTCAGGGACCTACCTACCTGAGCCATTACCAGCTGCCTTTCAGAGTGCACATTAACAGGAAGTTACCATCAGAAATGGAGTCAGGACTCAGACCTAAGAGGTGTGGCTCTTAAGTGCTTTGCCAAATGTCCACTCCCAAATGGTGCATTATTCTTTCCAGTGATGAGCTCTTATGACTTATACCACCTAATGGGTAGACTAAATTCAACTCTATGGGTGGAAATTGTTGTTTGGACGCATCACTGTAGAATATTCAGATTCTACAATTGTACCATAATAGCCATAATAATTTTTATTATAAAATATTTCTAGGGTGACTATAAGATCAAACATAAAATTAGTCACAGACCCCTCCAAAGGCCTATTCTATGTTTAGTTTGAAGATGGTCCATGCAGACCATTAAATTAATGAAAAAAAAACCTAGTGGCAGTGAAAAGGATGAGCATGGGAAATGTATTTATTTCTTTTTTTTTCTTTTTTTTTGACAGGCAGAGTGGACAGTGAGAGAGAGAGACAGAGAGAAAGGTCTTCCTTTGTCGTTGTTCACCCTCCAATGGCCGCCGAGGCCGGCGCACCGCACTGATCCAAAGGCAGGAGCCAGGTGCTTCTCCTGGTCTCCCATGGGGTGCAGGGCCCAAGCACCTGGGCCATCCTCCACTGCACTCCCTGGCCACAGCAGAGAGCTGGCCTGGAAGAGGGGCAACCGGGATAGAATCCAGCGCCCGGACCGGGACTAGAACCTGGTGTGCCGGCGCCACAAGGCGGAGGATTAGCCTAGTGAGCCGCGGCGCTGGCCCGGAAATGTATTTATTTCTTTCACAGGTCCAGGAGTGAGAACAAATCTAAACACAGCTGTAGAAGAAGGAGAATTGGTCTTTGGTATTACGGGAGTCTTTATTAAATCTCTTCTTAATTTTTTTCTTTTTGTAAAAATGTATTTGAAAGGCAAAGTGACAGGGAAATGGAGAGACAGAGAGAAAGAGCTCCTCCATCTGCTGATTCACTTCTCAAATGGCTGCAAAGACCAGGGCTGGGTCAGGCCAAAGCCAGGAGCCAGGAGCCAGGAACTCCATCCCAGTCTCCCATGTGGGTGCAGGGGCCCAAGCACCTGGGCCATCCCCTGCTGCTTTCCCAGGCACATGAGCAGGGAGCTGGATTGAAAGTGGAATAGCCAGGACTGGAACTGGTGCTCTGACATGGGATACTGGCATTAGTCGGTGATGGCTTAACCTGCTGCGCCATGATGCCAAACCCTCCCTTCTTAATTTCTTTGACCTCATCTCACCAACACCTGCCAAGCAGCCCAAATCTCAATATTTGTCTCCACCAATGGTCTCAAGACATCATAGCGAGGTGTTAATGACTGCTTTAGGCAAGGACACGTTAGGCATCGACTTCACTGAATAGCACAAGGTGTAAGTTAACGAGAATACCAGTCTTCAGCCTTCACATGTGTTTTGGGGAAGCAGTGACCACAGAGGGAGAGAGAGAAATAAAGTTCTTAGAGAATATTTTTATGGCAATAAGAATTCACCTGAAGTCGAATCGCGTTAAGTGGGCTTCTGTATTCCCTACACACAACCCGGTCTTTCCCACACTGTGATCCTTGCATTTACCAAGAAAGGTCATCTGATGAGTCATTGGCAAAAAAGTCAAACTACACTTCCTAGAAAATGCAACAAGGAGGCTCAGTAACAAGAGTATAATCACTGCAGCTCGCTGAAGGCTGAAGGCAGTTTCACTTCTTCTTTAAGGGTACAGGAAATGGACATGAAAGGATTTTCTTCCATTTTTGCTTTCTTAAACTCTCTCCTCTCTGCTGCATCAAGAACGACGCAGATCAGATCACGTCGCTCCCTAGCATAAAACGTGCTATGGCTTGGGTGTTGAATGTCCTCCAAAGCCTGGTCCTGGTGCGGGCATTGCGATGCGGCAGGCTAGGCCTCCTCACTCTGATACCTGCACCCCATGTAGGAGTCCCGGTTCAAGTCCCAGGTACTCTGGCGTCAGACCCAGCTCCCTGAGAATGTGCCTGGGAAGCAGCGGACGGTGGCTCAGGTATTGAATCCCTCACACCCTCACGGGAGACCCAGAAGGAGTTCCTGGCCACCAGCTTTAGCCTGGGCCCTGGCTATTGTGGCCATCTGGAGGGTGAACCAGCAGACAGAAGATGTCTTTGTCTTTGTCTATCTCTGTGTGTATTTGCTTTTCTCTCTGTCTCTCCGTTACTCTGCCTTTCAAATAAATAAAAATATCTTGGAAGCAAGCAAGCAAGCAAGCTAGCTTAGTCCCCAGGGTAGCAGTATTGTATCAGGAGGTAGTGGACCCTTTAAGAGGAACGGCCTGGTGAAAGCTGCTAGGTAATTTGGAAAGCACTTTACAAAGGTCGTTCTCCGGGCCGGCACTGTGGAGTAACGGGTAAAGCTGTTGCCTGCAGTGCCGGCATCCCATATAGGCACTGGTTCAAGTCCTGGCTGCTCTACTTCCGATCCAACTCTCTGCTATGGCCTGGGAAAGCAGGAGAAGATGGCCCAAGTCCTTGGGCCCCTGCACCCACATGGGAGGCCCAGAAGAAACTCCTGGCTCCTGGCTTTGGATCAGCGCGGCTCCGACCGTTGCAGTCAATTGTGGAGTGAACCAGCAGATGGAAGACCTCTCTCTCTCTCTCTCTCTGCCTCTCCTTCTTGCTCTGTGTAACTCTGACTTTCAAATAAATAACTAAATGTTACAAACAAAAAAGGTAGTTCGCATTAGAGAGGTCTGGAATGAAAGCCTTAGTTTGTCCCACCCCCTCTGTCTCCCTGCCTCCCAACTCCTGTAATCCCTCTCTGCCCATGCTCCACCATACCATCCATTGTCCTCATCAGAAGCCAGAACCATGGGGCTGCCCAGTCTTGGACATGAACCTCTGAAACTGTGAGCTAAGTAGAATTAACAAAAAGCTAACAAACTCCAGTAGCTTTTCCATCCCACTTAGAATAATATTAAAAATTCCTTCCTTTGGCCTATGTATGTTGCAGCCTCCATGTCTCAGCAAATCCTGGACATCTCAGAATTCAGTCTGTTCCTGGACACGCCAAGCCCCTGCCCACCCCAGGGCCTCTGCCCGGCCTGGGACACTCTTCCCCCAGATTCCCATGGCATCTTCCTCCTGTCATTCAGGCCTGCACAGTTGCCAGCTCCTCCAACTGGGCTTTGCCCAGCCCAGGTAAAATACCCTCCCCTCCCTTCACCCCTTCTCCCACCCTGCTGCTCATGCTCTGCTTTGCTCTAAATCCTTTGCAGTACTTAGCCCTCTCTGCAATGATCCTGCTTGTTTTCTGACCCCACAGACCCCATATCAACTCTTCGAAAGCTACTTCTCTTCTTCATGGGTATTTCCAGTGCCCAGAGTGGTGCCTTGTATATTCCAGGGGATTCATGTCTGTTGATGGAATGAAATGCAAGGTAAGGAGCAGGTGCTTAGCCAAGTAGTTAAGGTGCCTGCATTCCACATCCGAGTGTTTGGGTTTGATATCAGGCTCCAGCTCCTGGCGTCAGCTTCCTAACGAGGCAGACCCTGGGAAGCAGCAGTGGTTCACGTAGTTGGATCCCTGACATGCACATGGGAGACAACTTCCAGCGTTGGCCTGGCCCAGCCAGGCATTTGGGGATGGAACAGGTGGATGGGAAAACTCTCTCTGCCTCTCAGATTAATAGATAGATAGATAGATAGATAAACTCTTTAGAATGCATGGTAACTCAAGTTTTGTAATATAAAACTATAGGATACTGTAACACATAAATTATAAAAGTAGGGCTTGTGTTCTATAGAAGAAAAATCTAGAATTTAGGTTCAGAACCAAATGCTCACTGTTGGTGCAGAGAGTGTGAAGGAGAAAATTCACATGGCAGGGTCCAGTAGGGAGCTGTATCCTCCTGATATGGGATAAGGCAGGAAGTTAGCTAGGCACACCGAGCTGGAGGTGCCTGCAAGACACAAGCCCCTCCCTCACATGTCTGGGATGTATCTTCTTCACAGGGCACCTGGGGAGGGGAGGTGCTATGTAAATAGCCACTCCCCTTCCAACATGATAGAAGAGGCCAACAACTGGGAAGACCCCACGTAGGCTGGAGAGCAGGGCCGGAGGCGATGCCAAGGTGCCTTGTATCTACTTCCCCTCCCCCAACCCCTTTTTCCTTCTGACCCACTCCCCACCTATGCGCATGTGTGTGTGTTCACTTTCTCACCTTCTGCTTTATATAAGCCAGCATTAGGAATTCCTCTGTTGCTGCATGGCCAGGGCCTGGAATGAGCACTAGGCCCCGCCTCCTCCACTTTGAGGTCAGACATTCTCATAGGTATCCACAGTTCTTCCCTGAGATGAAGACCAGAAGCTGAAATAACTCTTGGAAAGAATGACTTTGGCCCCTGAAATTGACAACTCTAGTGTGAACCTGAGACTAAGACTGTATAAAACATCGAATGAACAGAGTCGAGTGGCTATTATTAAAAATATCTTGCTATGTGTTTACAATAACAGTTACACTTTCTTTCTTTCTTTTAAAAAGATTTATTTATTTATTTGAAAGGCAGAGTTACACACAGAGAGAAAGAGAGGCAGAGAGAGAGAGAGAGAGTCTTCCATCTGCTGGTTCACTCCTAGATGGCTGCAAGGGCCAGAGCTGTGTCAATCCGAAGCCAGGAGCCAGGAGCTTCTTCTGGGTTTCCCATACGCGTGCAGGTGCCCAAGGACTTGGGCCACCTTCTACTGCTTTCCCAGGCCATAGCAGAGAGCTGGATCGGAAGTGGAGCAGCCGGGACTTGAACCAGTGCCTATATGGGATGCTGGCACTTCAGGCGGTGCTTCACCCACTACGCTACAGCGCTGGCAACTGGAAGTACTTTCACATTAAAGTAATTTGGAAGTGGTGAGGCTTTGCCATACATTACCTCCCTTTGCTTAAAATATAATTAGAGGCCAAATGCCCGGCCTAGTGGTCAAGGAACCTGTGTTCCATGTCAGAGTGTCTGGGTTTCATTCCTGGCTGTGGCTGTCTTTCCATTCCAGCTTCCCACCAGCGTGGGACCCTGGAAAGCAACAATGATGGCTCATGTAGTAGGATTTCTGCTGCGGGCTTTGGCCCGGCCCAGCCCTGGACACTGTAGGCATCTGGAGAGTGAACTAGCAGATGGGGGCACTCTCTCTGTGTCTGTCTCTCTGCCACACAAATACATCAATTTTTGAAAATTTTAATTTTTAGTTGTAAGTTTATACGCTCGAATTTTTAAATAGTGGCTATATTTAACAAACAGTTGGCAAAATCCCTAAAAATCTAACCATCTGCTCTCCTGAGCCAGTGACAAGCCTGATCTACGCTCTGTCTTCTAGACACATTTAGGGCCCTTTCCACTGCTGTCTCTCTCTGCTGTCTTTATTACTAGCCTGAGAAAGCTAGGGAGGATCAGTAGCACGTGGGAGAAAACACGAAGTGGCACTGTTACTCTGTGTCACCTTGGGATGCTTAGTATTCTTGTCTATAAAGGTAACAGTTCTTACCCTGCCTACAAGGATTGTTGAGTGGGTTGAACAGCTGATCTGCATGGCACTGCTTTGTCAACTGCAAAGCCACATACAGAATAAAAGGCTTTATTATGACAGCCGCCTCGTCACTGGTTTTCCCAGGCCACCATAGGTAAGAGTGTAAAATGTGTTGCCACCTTCAAAGGGTGGTTTCCTTTTAGATCTTTCAGATCTTCTGTAATGCCAATAGACACCAAACACAAAGCAGAACTGCTCTCAAAAAGCCACTCTCAATTTTGTTAGTCATAGGAAAAAAAAAAAAAGATTTATTTATTTGAAAAGGCAGAGTGACGGGGGTGCGGGTGGGGAGAATCTTTCATCTGCTGGTTCACTCCCCAGATGGCTGCGACAGCCAGGGCTGGGCCAGGTTTAAGTCAGGAGCGGGGGACTCTATCTGTGTGGCAGGGGACTCAGTTACTTGAGTCATTTGCTGCTTCTCAGGCCCAGTAGCAGAGAGCTGGATCAGAAGTGTAGTCGCCAAGACTCAAACTAGCATTCCCCTACAGAACGCAGTGTCCCAAATGGTAGCTTAACTTGCAGCAACACAGTGCTTGCCCCACACTAGCCTTAATAAGGACAGCTTCCTATCCTGGGAGAAAAGCTAATTTCTGAAAGTATATAAATTATCCATTGTTGGGTAGTCTACCAGGTTGCAGAATACCTCTCAATTTCAATAGGTGGAGATGGGTCCTCTTAGTTTTGACTTAGAATTGTCAAGGCTGCCTTGCTTTTTGGCCTAGATCAAACAATTCACCAAGTTACTTTGTAAGGGTTATACCCTTCCCCATTCCTAACTGTTATAGTAAAGATCCCAATCACTGTCTCACCTTGAATGACTATGAAATATTTTCCTTGAGTTGGCTCAGCTCCCTTCTGATGGCACACAGCTCTTCTGCCAAGTTCTTTCCGGCATCAGGCCCTGCGCCCACGCTGAGCCCTCTGCCAGGGAAGCTCCCTGCTGGTGCTTCACAAAGCAGACTCCTTCTCACCATTCAGCTCAAATGCTACCACTCCCAGAGGGCTGCCCTGAGCACGCATCGTCACTTCCTCTTTACTGCCCTCATAGCACTGATCTCATTCTGAAATTCCCTGTTTCTCTGCTTACATCTTTGTCCACGTCCCTCGTTTTAATGTCAACTCCTTGGGGGCAGGAGCCCCAGTCCATTGATGTCATTGTCTGTCTCCAGTACTCGGCATGATGCCTGGCACATGATCACTTTCTGTGAGCAGAGGCGCTTCTCTGATCCACACCAGTGTTAAGGCTCTGGTCACGCATGGATGCGATTTTCTTGAGTCGAAGACCATCCTGGACTTGGCCGTTGCCCACATTTCTCCCAAGGCCCCAGAGGAAGCCACCATGGCAGCACAGGATGGCCTCCTGCCCCACCCTAGGGACTGCCCCAGTGATGTCACAAAGGACAGGATTCTCTAAGCCCTTCTCATTCCGTGATAGTCCTTGAGAGAGCTAAGGTTTTCAAACGCGATAGACGCTGGGTGGGAGGGAGGCAGATTCGGGTGGGGGGTACACCCCCCACCCAAACTAATTTAGTTTAAGGATAGTAGCCCCTCAAATGTTCGGGTTGGCGAGAAAATGGGTGGTAGAAGGTGTACTCTGGACTAAGATAAAGAAAAGAAAGACAAGAAGAATGAGGAAGAGCGGGGCAAAGGAGAGAAGAAGGGCGCCGAATGGGAGAAGAAAGAAGAGGAGAAAGGAGAGCGGTGGAGGAAGGGCCAGACGAGGAGGGCAGTTGAGGAGGATCCTGGAGAGAAAGAATATTGAACCAGGTATCGGAGGAGGAGGGAGGGAGGCAGGAAGAGCCGGGACTCTGGTTGCAGTGTCAAAGGGCGGGATGGCTCGGGAACAGCTGTCCCCACAGAGGAGCCACTTAAACCACTGAGCCACATTCTGAGAGGCCCAGGCCAAGCTGTCTCATTGACTCCTGGATGCGTTCACAGGAGTAATTAGAGGATTTCCTCCAGTTACAATTGCGGAGGAAAGGGGGAGCGATTATTGTTAACTAAACTTTAGACTCACCTCTGGAGCCCGTGCCCTCACCCCAAGTCTCCCAGTTACTAGGGTGTTAGCTAACATTTCCGAAGCAGGAATAGGGTTTTAGAGTAAACCTAGAAAAGTGACTCAAAGACAGTCATGGCAAAAACATCCTGTGAAACATCTCAGATACAAGATGGTGGCTCAAACAAAGTTGTTCCTGGTTCAAAAAACAAGGAAAACTCTTCTAAACTCCATTTCCATTTTCTCCCTCTACCAACATCCAGCTTTATTCTCCCTTAGTATGACTTAATTATGGCGAAGGGGATGTAATATCAAGCATATATAGTCAGATTTTTGTTTGTTTGTTTCAAATTTTAAAATATTAGGGTTACAACCCATGCATGTTCTGGTCTTAGCAAAATATCCCCTGCACACTGTGTACTGAGATAATAGAAAGAAGGTGTAGCTTTATTTGGTGGTCTGGGTTACACTAAACAGACAAGGTAAACATCTTTGTATGTTCACATTTCCTATTTTTCTGCTTCTGCTACAATTGACCCAGATTCTCTTTGCTGGCGTGGAACACAGAGCAAAGGAAGATAGGCAAGATCTTTAAGTTCTCTATTGATCCATTGGTGCCACTGGGGCTCTAGCTTCTGTCTTATGAATACGAAAATTTGTTTTTTTAGAGCTCTCCAAAGGGTGGCTGCCACATGGTCTTTTCTACTTCAGAATGTTAATGAGTATACTAGCATGCTAATCATGCTGTTACTTGTCTGAAGTATGGAGGATTCCAATAAGGCAGAGTTTCAAAGATCTTTGATCTAATTCCCCCTTAACCACCCCCTCTTTTTTTTGGCAGTTGTGTGGAGAATTAGGAAATGTGACCTCAAATGACACTTGGACCAAACAAACGCATAGATTTTATTTTTACTTTATATACCTGAGAGTGATCTGTTTTCATGGTACTCTAAGAAATTCTCACCCCAAAGATACTGAGTGGGGTGATTTTTGGGGTTTCCTGAAGATTTCTTCTGGCAGTGACTAGTGATTGTATTTGTTAGGTCACAGAGCCAAAAGGGAAGGGAACAGAACTTGTCCCCAAAAGTCCTGTTGAAAAACCCGGAGGTGGCTTTTGCGACTTGACAAGCAGCTAAGGGATTTTTGGTAAATGGTAACAAGCAGCCAGTACAACGATCTGGATTTAACAACTGGGGCAATGACTTGGTTTTGGGAGCTACAAAGTAGCAAGGTTGCTACAGAAAGGTCTCCTCAAGCTACCTCCACTCGTCAGAACTGAATCTGGCTAATATTTTTATTTATTTATTTTTGAAGACCTGCCCCCTACAATGAAGCAGTTTTTTCTTTCCTTTATACATGCCAGAACACCTTTTTTTAAAATACCGATGTGTACTCGAACCTCTGTTCCTGCGCATGTGCCGTGAGCCAAGGCCAGGAGCAGGTTGAGCCTGGGGCCAGGGGGGCGGGCCGCAGCCCAGCCAATGGGAGCGCGCGCCGGTGACGTGTAGCACCCCGGCCTCCGCTCATTGGCTGCCCGGGGTGTGTGTCATTCTACCCGCCGCGTTCGCGAGCCGCGTGGGTCGGGTTCTCGTCGTCTAGCTCGCTTGACTGGATTCTGGCCACCTGCACGTGCAGTTTCAACCAACTTCAGCTCCTCCACATTGTTTAAAGCCCTCCGTCCCCTCAACCTCCCTGGAGGTCGCCTGAGGGCCCTCGGGACACAGCCACGTGACCGTCTCAGCCAATGCAAATAAACACAACGGAGAGTCCCATGAGCATTGTGGTGGTGGTGGGAGAGCCGGTGCGGCCCGGGCCCCTGCCTAGGTCCCCGGGGGTCACTGCGGCGCCACGGAGGCGCCCGAGGGTCAGAAGCTCCGGGCCTGGCGTCGGGGCTGCGGGGACCGCGTCCGCAGGCAGGCAGAGGAGCCGGGCGGCGAGAGCGGACCCCCCAGAGGCAGAGCCGAGTCCCTGGCTCGGCCCGCGGCTCTCGGGCCCTGGGGCTCCCAGCTCTCGTACATTTCTTCCAGCCACCGTCAGCGAGGTATCGAAGGCCCGCGCCTGGGCTCGTACCAGAGACTCCAACCCTCCCTTCTGCCTCAGCTCAGGAGGGCCGCAGGGAAGACGCCGCGCGAGGCAGTGACGTCACCGCAGTCGTCCCTGCCCCCGCCCGCCGGCTGCAGCCGCAGTGCCTGCCCTCCGACATCCGGGTCTCTCCAGCTGCTCCGCCGCGCCACAGCTGTAGCGGCCGCGGGGGCCGGCGGGGCGGGGCGGGGCGGGGCGGGGCGGGGCTGGCGGAGGAGTGGGGGAAGGGCAGCGCGACCGTCGTGAGCGCGCCTGCGCGGGGCCGCGCTAGAGGCGGCGGCGGCGCTAGGGACGGGAGCGCGCGCGGGAGGCTCCAGAAGCAGTGGTCTCGGCGCCGGCCCGGCCCCGCGGCTTCGGGTGCTCCGGCGGCTGCAGCTCGGCACGGGTGGCTGGGGAGGGAGGGAGGGGTGGGGGGACGCCAGGCAGGTGGGGCGGGAAAGCGATGAGTCCTCGGCTCTTCCTCGTCCTCCTCCGGGACCCGCTCTCTGCCTCCCGCTCCAACGCCCGGATGATCTGAGCCGCGAGGGCGCCGAGAGCCGGGGGCCCGGACGCAGCCCGGCTCCTCCCGTCCGCCGCTGCCGCCGCCGCCGCCGCCGCCGCCTCGGCCCGCAGGGGACCCGCCCGCCCGCGGCTGCTCCGGGTAAGCGCGGCGCTCGGGCCGAGGGCGGGCGGGCGGCGGGCGCGGGCCTGCGCGGCGGCGGCCAGGCCTGAGGCCTGTAAACAAGCCGGCGCTCCCGGGCGGAGACGCGACAACTCCACCCCCGGGCCCGGCCTCCTCCCGGGGTTAACGAACGCCCGGCGCGGGCCGGGGGCGCGACCCCCGGGCCCCCGCGCTGGGCGAGGGCCGCGGGCCCGCGGAACTTTTCTCGGCGGCCCGCGCGCCCCGGCGCCCGGCTGCCCCGGGCTGGAGGCCGCCCCCCGAGCTGGGCTTGGCCGGTTGTGTAGAAAGCTCTAAGGTTTTCCAGGGGGGCAGGGCTGAGCTCGACCCAGGGCTGCCGCCGGCCCATTCATTAGTAAAGGCATCGCGCAAATCCCTTGGAGCCGAGTCCTCTGGCTTCCTGTCCCTTTTAACCGTGTAGAATTGGGTGGAAGTTGCTGATGGTAGGGGCTGGTTGAGCTGTGGTTCTGTTGTGCTTGTGGCTTTTTAAATAAACTCGGAGGCTTTTTCGTGAAAGACAAGCCGGCTGCGGACAGCCCTCTGCCTCCCGCAGTTTCGGATGCGTTTTGAGAATTTCAGCACCTGAGCTGTATTTTTTCTGCCCACTTCTTCAAGCACCACCTTGTGCTTAGAAATCCGCGAAGGTCATACCCGACTTGTCCAAGCCCAGGGATCCGAGTGCCCAAGTTGCCTGCTGCTTGGAAAAACAGCGAACACATGAGTTTTAAGGACTGATTGGAAGAGTATGTGAGGTGGCTGGAGGAATAAGTGAGTTTGACATTACTGGGAAAAAAAAAAAACAACACTAGACGTGTAAAAAGGGTCTTAGAGAAAAAGGCATACTCTTTCCCAAGCTCTCACACTGAGGTTTTTAAACAACCGCTTTTGAGTTGCAAAGCACTCAGAAGAGGCATGTAATTCTTTGAAAGGATTATTTGTGTGAAAGGCAGAGTGACGGAGAGAGGGAGATCTTTGATCAGCTGGTTCACTCTCCAAATGGCTGCAGCAGCCGCGCTTTGGGCTGGACCAGGCCGAAGTCAGGAGCCAGGAACTCCATCCCCTGGGTAGCAGAGGCCCAAATGCCTGGGCCGTTTTCCCTCCCGTGTCAGGCACATGAGCAGGAACCTGGATTGGAAGCAGAGCAGCTGGGACTCCAGTCAGCACCTGCGTATGGGATGTTTACCTGGGGCACAAGGCCATCCCTGGGGTTCATTTATTTAAGTTGTGTTCTGAGCCCTAAGGGTTACAGAGCTGTCGGGACAGCAGGGCGTGGCCCACAGCCCCCGCCCCCCTTTACTGAAACACTTCACTTTTACCTTTTTACATATGGGCCTTTTTCAGAGAATATACTTATGTTAATTGCTTTACAGGAATTGCAGACTGGGGAGATAGTGACCTACTCCCTGTTTTCTAACCTTAGGTATTACCATAATTGATGTCATGTTTCCTTTGCCAATATGTGATTTGAAGTACAAAGTAACATTTTTGGCCTGATACTGTAACTCTTAAATTTAGGTGTGACATACATGTATCTGGTTAACCAGGGTTGGTTACTCTTAACCTAGAAGTTGATAATAGTAATAGCACGTTATTAAAACAACAGTGGAGTGCATGTGGAATGCATGCTTAAGATGTTTTTATTTGATCACATTAAGCTTCTCACATCAGTGAAAGGATTGTAAGAGGGGCATTGAGACTGATACTGCTTGAAGGTAGCTACCTCTGCACATTCGAGAAATGATGCGGCTGAGTGCTAGAGATTGCATCTTACAGGGCTTGTTTTCTTTATGTATTTTCCACACAGATTGTATCTTGTTATGTTTTAGTAGGAAGGGGCTGAAATGATGACCATAGTTGCAGTAGAACCGATTGAAGGGAACACTGCCCCAGACAAGAACTGTTTAGTCATGGCTGTGCTCCAGAGTATGTGTCCATGGGGAAGTCCTTTAACCTGCTTGGATCTCAGCTTCCAAATTAGTAAAGCAGAGGGGTAGATCATACAGTCACGTGAATGGTCCGACTCATTTTTTT